AGATAGATAGAAAGATAGAGAGAGAGATGGATAGATACTTTATTGACCCCAGGGAAAATTCAGGTTGTGTAAGTGATTGTATAAGGTTACTGTTTTTTCACACTGTGTGGGAAGGGTGTAAAAAAAAAAAATTCCTGCTCCACAGTCTGAGTCAGACTGAAGTGTGTGATATGAAAGTAAGACACATCACGCTGTGCAGTGAAAGCCCGGTGAATCATATCAACACGCTCATGTCATCCACCTGGGCTGTGATATGGAAACGCAGCAAAACAATAACCAAGCTTTGTTCACAGTACAAAACCACACGAGGAACATTCAGACACTCAGTTGTATCTTAATGTTTTTCCTGTGTGTGTGTTTCGTTCATATCCTTTATGTTTCTGGAACTGCAATTACAGATTTTATACGATTTTAAGGTCTGGACCTTCTATGTAAAGTGCCTTGAGATAATGTATATTATGATGTGGCGCTATACAAATAAAATTGAGAAAGGGAGAGTGTGGAACTGACTGTGGCAAAGTGTGTGTGTGTGAGGCCGAACCCCTTGTGTTTAGTTCTTCATTCCATTCTGATAGGTATGTCATGTGTAGAATGTGCATCACACCCAGTTTTTTCTTAAACAAAGAACGTCGCACAGCAAAAGTAAACAGCAGCCTCTGGTGGCTGATCTGTAACCAGTGGCTCTGTCTGTCTGTCTGTCTGTCTGTCAGGTGGGAATGTGCTCATTCTGAAGACCTGGGGCGAGCAGGGAGGCCCTCACATGCAGGCTCTGCACTTCAGCTTTGCTGCTGGGGCCTTTGTGTCTCCAATCATTGCAAAGTTGCTGTTTGGGCCGGATGGAAATAGCAGCATGGGACCCACGCCCACCAATTCAACATCTCCTGCCGCCACAGAACACCTCACCGTCTCTGACGCTCACAGGTTCATCAGCTTCATCCACAGCAGGAGCAGCACCCTCAAATCCATGTGGGCCTACATTGTGATCGGCTCTTATATCGGCCTCATCTCGTTCCTCTTCTTCATCCTCTACACCCGCAGCAGCATGTCCCATGACAAAGCTCGCACGTCGTCAGGAAAGCCCCTGGTGGCCAAACACCACACTGCTCTTGTTATCCTGCTCTTCTTTTTTTTCTTTGGCTACGTGGGTGCTGAGGTGGCATACGGCTCCTTCATCTACAATTTCGCCAAGGACTACGCACACATGCCACAGTCGCAGGCAGCCGGGTTGAACTCGTTGTTCTGGGCAACGTTCGCTGCCTGTCGGGGGTTTGCCATCTTCTTTGCGGCCTGTGCGTACCCGGGGACCCTGATCCTGTTCAGCCTGGTGGGCACCACCATCTCCTCCCTGCTTCTCTGCCTCTTCAGCAGTGAGAAAGTGGTCCTGTGGGTTTGCACTGGTCTCTATGGAGCCTCCATGTCCACGACCTTCCCCAGTGGCATCACCTGGATGGAGCAGTACACCACAGTGACGGGCAACACAGCGGCTGTGTTTGTGGTGGGCTCAGCACTGGGTGAGATGGTGCTGCCTGCGCTTGTAGGCTTCCTGGGAAAGTTCTACCAATACCCCTTTCTGATGTACCTGTCACTCATCACTGCCACCTTCACCTCCATCCTCTTCCCCGTCATGTACAAGCTAGCCTCTGCCCCTAATGGTCAGAGCAGGAAACCCCGCGCCATGGGTCGACCCGACGCCGACGACAGTGAATTCCGTCAGGCGCTGCTGGATTCAGGAGCCCATGATGAAGAGGAGGAGGAGGAGGAGGAGCCAGACATCGAGGCGGATCAATGGAACGATGCAGACTTTGAGGTGATTGAGATGGACGACACAGCGAGTCTCGTGAGTTCACCCAGCAAGGCTTCGTCTCCCCCCGATGTCAGCGGTGTGATGGAGCCTCGGTCCGCAGGGGGAGCCTCCTCCTCAGACTCCATCTCTCTGGTAGGAGACTCCCCCAGACGGAAGCTGCTGCTCTCAGACAGAGAGAAGAGAGACTGAACTGGAAAGATATCAATATACTTCAGATCATTCACAGAACACAGGCAGCTTCACGTTTTAAAACTGCTGGATGAAGGTTCGGAAGTCTGACACAATTTTTTTTTATTGCGAAGGATTTTGTGTTGACCTACTCCTTCCACAGTGAGGTCAAAGGTCAGGGTCAGCTGTGGAACAGAAGTAAAAATTCAGTGCCTTGCTCAAGGACAGATGAGCAGAGTGAATGAGTTGAGCCATGGCCGCTCGCCCTGTTCTTCATCGTCATGCTGCCAAAAACGGATGTCTCAAAACTGGATTCTAGATTGAATGTGTGATGGTGATAGTTGTGTACGTGAAGTTGTGTGCACTTATGTAATAGGCATTTTTGGTTTTTGTCATGTCCTGTGAAGTGTCAAGTGGCTTGTGGTTCTTTAAATCATGTGTTGTTGCTGTGATTCATTAAGTTTTTATTTAAAGAACTAAATCATTGAAAGAGGACGTTCAGATACATTGACTTTTTATTATATCAATCTCAAACCTCCACCTACAGCAATGTCCATTAAAAACACAGAAACACCTCCTTCATAATCATTATTTACATTTATACAAATAGACAGATCCTGTGTATGGCTGTATGTAGAATTGAAGATCAGGTCTTTACAGAGTTTGATGACAGCTTTTCTTTCTGCACAGAAAATTGGTAATGTACACAAAACCATATGCACAGGGAAATAATAGACTCTTCATGACATACATTATCAAAATACAGTATTGCAACAGTCCCAGATTTAAAAAAAAAAACTGAAATAGTATCCAGTTTCCACTCTGAAGAGAGTTTGACGTGTCAAATCTGTCAAAATGGATTAGTACAATCAAAGTGAAATGAATGAAAAATGGTATCCTGTAAGAGAATGCATAAAGACAGTTTGAGCATTCATGGCCAGAGCTGGAGTTTCTCTGATGCTAGTGAACAGTGGGGTCATAGATGGAGCTGTACAGGAAGTATTTACATGCCTGCAGTCGTCATATAGAAATGCAGAATGTTGTCTTAGAGATTTGTAAAGAGCTCCTTGAAAACTGAAGACTTCAAACTGCTGCTTGCGCTATCAAGAGACAACAAGTCTTTCTTGACTCGTCCGCACGTAGTTCCATGAAAGGTAGTCTGCAGCTGTGTCACCCCCACACATCAGCTCCACTCAGCCAACAGCAGCTAATGGAGATGGCAGCAAACAAGCATGAAGACAAACAGAGGCCTGAGGGGGAGGGAGCCCCTCCCACACACAGGAGGCTCAAACCAGACAGTTGAATAACAAATAACAGTTACAAGACGATGGAACCCCAACAGGGTTTAATCAAAGCACCACGTATACAACTGAATGGACAATCAAACACTGAGATGGGGTGGGGGGGGGAAACAGTTAGCACCAAATCAGCAGGGAGCGCTGGGTTCAGGAGCCAATCAGAACTGCTCCAGCAGCTGTCGGAGGTAGGGGGCCTTGGAGAGCTGTCTGTTGACCCGGGCTAGCTTGTAAAGGACAGGACAGTCCAGGGACACACAGGGAACCTGCCGCTCTGCACAGCCGTTGCAGTTCCTGCAGACCTGCAGAAAAACACACACACACTCGATGAGGGAAGAGTGATTTCAAATGCTATGATGGAGTTCACACTTTATATATTCACATGGTAGAAAAGACGAGGGAAACTACGAGTCTGCAAGATCTGGATGGTGTTTTATCCATAGGACTCAAAGTATCAACAAATACATAAACACACTTCCTGTCACAAGGCATGAAGAACTGTTGGACAAGAAGGGAGTATCCCACTCTGGGGCAACATCCACACCACTACGTCTTAGTTTTAAAACGCATCACTGCTGCTGAGGGTACTCCTGACATTCACACTACCCTGGAGTTTTTGAGCACCTAAAATGGAAAAGTCTGGAAACGCTGTTGGCCCCACTTTAGTTTGAAACTCTGGGGCTGCTACATGAGACATTTGGAAACGATGACGCAATTACCCAGATTTGCTTCCTGGTTGGTTCGACTGCAACTGGTTAATGCACTAAACACTTAACTGTCGGTTACAGCCCCACCTTATGATCACTCCAAGAACAGAAATCCCTCTTAACACTATTGTTTTTGTTATTGTTTTCTGTAACTAAGCAACTCCCTGCAGAGTAGACAATCTGCTTTCAGTTTACACTGGCACGCTCATGACCAGTGTGCATGAATGGTTACGTGATATACTTTTTGGGTGTGTTAGCATGCATGGGGTTTATGACTGATTAAGAGCTGAAACCTTTGTGTGAACAGAGCTTGTTTTTGTTTCAAACCGTCTTTTAAAATTAAAATGTTGGAAAAGGATGGAATTCAAATCCTCTCCTCTGCCGCCCACCATGTTCTGACAGAAATGCTGCATGTAAAACACAGACTTTAATGACATACTTCCTTCGCTTCATCTCCAATCTCTACGTTACAGTCGAGACTGAGGTCATGAGCAGCAGAGCCTGGGAGGGTGGAGGTGCAGGGTTTTGTGTCTGACTGACTTCTACTCACATCGAACCCTGTAGTATAAAGTCTAGTCAGGAGCAGGGCTTGAAGGACACTTGCTACTCTTCGTTTTAAAGTGGGGGCTGTGGCTCGAAGGGTCAGAGCAGCCATCCTTGAACCAGAAGGTCTGCTTCTGCATGCCCAAGTGTCCTTGGGCAAGATGACTGAAGACTGAACCCCGAAATTGTCCCTTCTCATTGAGAAAGTGTGACACATATTTGGACTGTGTGAATGGGTGAATAGCAAAAACGGTTCTGTAAAGTGCTTCGAGTGGTCATCAAATATCGAAAAGAGCTATATAAATGCAGACCATTTATATGTGCGTTTTGGTTTATTGTTGTTTGGATGTTTGTGCTTCACTGTGCAGATGTGTGTGTAAGTACACGTCCTCTGGAGAAACTCCAGCTCAGTTCAGTGTATGTCTGAAAACAGCTTAACCTAGCAGACAATCACAGTCTAGTATGCAGCATGCACAAGTGTGATGTCAAAACCTTCAATGAACCTAAACATTTTTAGCAGGCAAATTATTGAAATACACAAAATTGACATTTTCATTTATTCTCTATTTTTCAATACGGGAGAAGTAGATTAATTATTTCAATGTAATTTCACAATTTTATCATTGACAGCTTAAATATTTCTATATCTTCATACTGAGCAGTGGCTCTTGAACAGGAAGATCGGTCCCCTCAGCCCCAGCCTCTCACCTTCAGCAGCTGGTCCTGCTGACTCTCCCACTGCCTGATGTCCTGGTAGAGTGTGACAGCAACTCTCTGGGGTTCAGCACGACACCGCGAGCACACGCCCAGCTGGGTCAGCTCATCACACACAGGGCAATGAAGCGTGGTGAAGTACTGAGAAATGGTTCCCTTCCTCCCTGCTTCCTCTCCTCCGGCAGCTGCAGAGCAGGAGGCTTTCTGGATCTGGAGAGAGATGAAGGACACACGTTAACCTCTGCAGACCAAAAAAATGAATATCATTACAATAACTGAAGCTTTACTTAGTTTTCTCTGTTTGTTTTTTTTCTGAGGGATTTCTGTGCTCACAGTGTATGTGTCCACACTGTCAAATAATGAATCCAAGCAATAATGTGGAGTATGATGGTATGAAATAAAGGTGTCTGTTCACAAATTACAGATGATTGTGGTATTTATAAAAGTAGGGTCTTCTCTTTTTATAAATCCAATCAAACGTCAGCAACATAAGATGCCAAGTTGTGTTTTGGCTTGTGGTCACATTCATTGCTCTGATGAACTCTGCATCAGCTTGACCAGCAGATGGCGTGTGTGCTCTATAAGAGCAGATGCTCACTTCAGTATTGACACAGACTGAGGCAGCAGCGCTGCAGTTTGATGAGACTCATTCGATCCTCAGCAGGAAGCAGGAGAGACATTTTCTCCTCAGCCTTTGTTCTCTCTCCACTAAAAACACATGCTTATGACAGGGATTTTACTCACTTCAGGAAGCTGACAAGTCCATTTATTTGCTTCGTCAAGAATGAATTCAACTGTGAGTCAGATCTGTGAGTTTTTATTATAATTCCTCTGCTTCCTTCTTTTGTTTTAAAGGTTTTCATGTTGTTATATAAGAAGGTTATCATCTGTGCTGCCTCTACATTGTAACTGTAACATAAGAATCACAGTGGCTGCTCTTCCCCTGGAATGAGCTGGTCCTCTCACCCTGGGCAGCTCCTGGTACCAGCTGAACACGTCCACTCCGATTAGCTGGAACATGCGGGCCAGCGGCGGCAGGATCTGCTTGGTGATGTAGTAGGTGGCGTTGAGGCGGAGGCCCGGGTCCTGCAGAACCTCCATGGGCCGACGCACCAGCTGGATGAGGGGCACGCCGGGCATCCCGTACACGACGACGTAGGGCACCCGCTCGCCCACGCGGGGCTCCAGTCGACGGTCATACACCATCATACGTCTGAGATCAATCGAAACAGAAGACTTGACAAAACTGAGCAACTCATAAGAAAACCCTGTTTATAAGCGCTGGGCTTTAAATCCGTTTTTAACCTGTGCTCTTATGCAGCTCACATCTGACTGTAAATCACTCAAATAATTAATATTGTACAATATTGCAGCGACATCAGAAATCAACATGGCCGCTGCTTAATGTTGCTGTACAAACACTGTACTGTCTGTGCTAGAGCTCATGAATGAGGCTGAGTGTTTCCCTCTCACCCATGCCTCTGAAATCAGATTTTTTTCCCTATCCATTAAGGGCTGGGTTGCCTAGCAACAGACTCAGGTACTGTACACGCAGGCTAGTGCAGTTAGACAACGAGCACTGTGGGGAAGGAGTAATTGGATTCACACTGAGTACTGTAACTGTAGTTGACAGCACGCTCTTCCTCACTCTCCTGCATATGGACATGCACACACACACATATATATTCACACGTAGAGTACAACTCAGGACTTTATTCATTCATTATTTCCTTTTTATGTTGTTGTGGGGAGAAGGTTGTCTGCCTGTATATGATCAATAACAATGACAATCACACACACCTGGTGAGCTCCAGTGCAGGGACGCAAGAGCCGGGCCGGTACGAGCCACTGCCTCTGTACTCCTTGGCGAAGGTCAGGTCCTGCATGCTGGCCCGACCGTCCAGGACCTTCACACACTGACGCTGCACAAACTGTTTCACCTGGCTGATGTCCCGCGTCTCAAACAGCAGCTTAATGGAGCGCTCCAGTATCTGAGGGGGACATGAAGCAATCAACACATGAGACACAACACATGAGACATTAGAGGGGAGAATGAAGACAGTAGACAGACATCAAACAACAGCAGAGATATAGGACTGATTTGATATTTAAATGGAATTATGAGCAGTGACTGTGATTTAATGCCATTACCACTGGTATATTTCAGTCTAGACACAATACCACGGGGCCTTTTTCCTGATTGACAAGCATGAGTAAACGAGAGCAGGAAGAAAGCTGGCATGGCTGTGATTGGTGTAGAGCACAGAGAAATGGTTTGCTTGTTACCTTGGAAACAGCGGGGCAGCCGTCGCGGCGCACTGTCTCGATCCCTTTGGCGTCAAACACGGGTTCCTTTTGGTCGAGGCTTTCGTACATGTATCCCACATAGCGCTTCTTTGTCTGCAGTACACAAGGGAGGTACACCTGGGACGGACAGACACACACACAGAATTTAATTGTACCTCTACATATGTTTAAGAGTGCAGATGGAGAAAGACAATCGCACAGACAAATCCAAATCAAAGTGCACAGACACTTT